ATTTTCAAGTCTTGCCATAGATTAACTAGGCCACTCAGAAACATTCAATGTAGTCTTAGTAAGCAAACTCCAGTGTAGATTTGGCATTGTGTTTTAGGGATACATAGTCTGTTGCACAACTGAATGCATTCAACTGAAGTGTGCATTCAACTGAAGTGTGTCTTCCGCATTTAACCCAACCCCTCTGAATCAGAGAAGCGCGGGGGCTGCCTTATCTACGTCTATGTCATCGCCCGGGAGGAGAAGTTGTTAGGGGTTAACTGCCTTGCTCAAGGGGCAGAATGGCAGGTTTTTTCCACCTTGCCGGCTCAGGGATTCGAACCAGCAACCTTTTGGTTACTGGTCCAACACTCTTAACAGCTAGGCTACCTGCCACCATTATTCTCCTGTTGAAATGTGAATTTGTATCTCAGTGTCTGTTGGAAAGAGACTGAACCAGGTTGTCCTCTAGTATTTTGATTGTGCTTAGCTGTATTTCGTTTCTTTTTATCCTAAAAAACTCCCTAGTCCTGCCGATGAAAAGCATACCCATAACATGATTGCAGCCACCAACATGCGTGAAAATATGAAGACTGGAACCTCAGTGATGTGTTATGTTTATGGCAAATCCAATACAACCGTTCCGACACAAATGTTAATTTCTTTGCCACATTTTTTGCAATATTACTTAAGTGCCATGTTTGGCAAACAGATGCATGTTTTTTGAATTGTTTTATTCCCTAAGCCTTCCTTCTTTACACTCTGTCATTGTGGAGTAACTACAATGTTGTTTGATCCATCCTCGAGTTTTTCTCATATCACAATCATTTTTAAACTCTGTAACTGTTTTAAAGCTGGGCTGGTTAAATCACCATTGGCTTTATTGTGAAACCCCTGGAGCAGTTTTCCTGCCTCTCAGGCAAACTGAGTTAGGAAGGACGCCTGTAATCCTTGGATAGTGACTTGGGTGTATTGATACACCATCCAAAGTGTATTAATAACGTCACGGATGCTCAAAGGGTTATTCAGTGTCTGCTTTTACATTTTTTTTACCCAGCTACCAATCGGTGCCCTTCTTTGCAAGGCATTGAAAAACCTCTTTGTGGTTGAATCTGTGCTTGAAATTCACTACTCGATTGAGGGACCTTACAGATAATTGTATGTGTGATGGGGATGGGGTAGTCATTCAACAATTCTGTTAACCACTATTATTGAACGCAGAATGAGTCCATGCATCTTATTATGTGATTTGTTAAGCACAATTTTACTCCTGAGCGTATTTAGGTTTCCCATAACAAAGGGGTTGAATAATTACTGACTCGAGATTTCAGCTTTTCATTTTTTTTATTAATTTCGAACATTTTCTACAAACAAAATTCCACTTTGACATTATGGGGTATTGTGTGTAGATCAGTGACACAATATCTCAATTTAATAAATGTTTCATTCAGGCTGTAACACAACAAAATGTGGAAAAAGTAGGGTGTGAATACTTTCTGAAGGGAACACAGAGCAAATAAATGGAGCATAACTGCAAACCCGTTGTTGATGTAATTAGTTATTTAAGTATATACATAGAAACCATTAACATTCTCCATGTGGTGCTAATATTTTTCCGCTCAGAATGTTTCTTCTGCCCAACTTGAACCTCAGTAAGTAGGCTAAGCTTTAACGATGAGTCTTCTATAAAGTCTAGCAGCAGTATAGCGTCTGTAAGAATGCACTTCATTTCACTGACTGGGCTACTGACTGACTCTGTCGACCACTAGTTGAATGTATAGCCTATAAAGGACGAAAAACACAAGTACAAAGACTTACCAGGTTGTTTGAAAAAGGAAGAGGTAGTGCTTTAAAAAATGTGAGATTGATAAAAAAGATGTTATCCTTAACTCAAGCTAAATCACATAGATCTGAAATAGGCTTCATGTTAAATACCACTGAAACTGTAGCCCTATACATACATTCCCTAACTGTAATATCAAAGGTTTAAGAACATTATATTCACAAAACTAAATGATGAAACATGATGGTCCTAATGAGCTAGAAAAGTAGTCACCAAATGTTATATCCTTATCCATTATGCATAATTGACCACCCTTAACCTATTATAACAACAATAATTCTACAGGGTTTCAATAATTTCCCATTATTCTGATTATATTGTTCACACTAGAAATTAAATAATCACAATTTACCTGATTCCTGTAAGTTAGGCCACAACATAAAGATTCCAATAGAATAATTTATTCAGCTCAAGCCTGATAAAGGCCTGCCTACACGCTATATTCTGCTCGCCGTGATCACAAAATGTATTGACAATTAGGCCTAATTAAATCCACTACAATGTTGAGCACGGCTGGTGTGATAAGAAGTCTATAAAACCATTTACAGAATGTCTCTCAGATTTTTTAAAATTAGTTTGGGAATAAATAGAAATTCGTTTTATCTTACTGTACAGTGCATAGTGACGTCAATCAGGTTTGATATATGGTAGGTCTGCAAAAACAATTGATCAATGTTCCAAAAAATATTCCACTGTCTATAGTTTCTTTAGAATTTACAAGTTTAAAACAACGTCCTGGATTTTCATGTTCAGATATAAGCAACACGTGTCTCACCTCTTACCACCAATGCACATTCTACAGGGTATTTTTTTTATTAGTGGTACATTACTAATTAGATTATATGAATAAGATAGTAAGATAGCCATATAACCTTGATGCACTAGAATAGACCACAAAACAAAGCCAATAGCTATTGCACCTTATACCATTAAAAAGGTGTGAAACTCTAAAAAGTAGGCTTCTTTTACGCATAAATTACGCATAGATTACATTTAATTTAATTCCGTTTAAAAATATATATATTTAACGTAAATCCTTCAAGCTCTCAACATGCACTTGGAAAGGAATGTGTTATATTCTATTGACACTAATGCCATTGGAGCTGTGCGAACACTGATACGGAAGAAATGTAGACCGACTCAGCCGGCTATAGAAGGGTTAATCGGAAATGTGTGGTTTGTATCTGACAAACTCATTCCGAAGGATTATGAGTTTTTGTTTCAGTTTTTATGTCGAAGTGACGATGTTCTGGATTGAGCTAGAGCGGAACCGGATCTACTAGTCTGCTTCAGATCAACTTCTGGGCAGACTGTTCCGTGTATATCCAAATTCTCACATTTTGATGCAAAGTAATAATCACTCCGAAAGAGCATTCTCAGACCAAAAACTCGAGACATAAGCGGCAGCTTTGGCGTGGATGGCGAGGGGGATTGGAGGGCGCTCGCTGCTGGTTGGATTTTAGGGTAAATATGAAGTGACAAGTGTCTGCTCTTATTGTGGTGCGTCAGCCGACCGGCGCCAAACGGCTCTTTAACCAACTGAATCGAAGTTAATCAAGCCAAGGGTCCACAGAATGGATTTCTTAAAGGTACAACACAACAGTACCGAGACCGAGTTTTTGGTCGGGTCGCCTTAGGGGTCGTTGCAATGGTCTGAAGTGTGTTATGTACTGTATGGGGTTTGACACATACCAACAAACTGCCCTCATGATAATCTATTAATATAAAGCATCTCATTGCTGTTTCAGTTTATGCTGAAAATGAGAGCGAAGAAGGTCATATTAGAATAAAAGGAATAGCCTACGTCTATACAGTACAGTATATGATAGCTATCGATAGGCTACGTCAGGCTATTCCTGGTTTTAAAAAATATATATTAAAAAGTATTATTATTTTCACTATTTAGGCTATAAGGCAATCAAATACAGTGAATGTACAATAAATCACTTTGTGAGCATGAATAATTTATACTGCCTAAAACCAAGTGAAGAGGACATAGATAGGCTCCACATCAGAAGAAAACACATCTATTTAGTTTCTGGAAGGCTATAAGCAAGCACTCACCGCGTTCTATCTGTCGATTTTGCTCTCGAAATTCATTCATTTGTTTTATTTTCTTCTTGCCTCAACGCAGCATCTGTCTCTGCGCTTTTCGAATGCCCCGGGGCTGTTTTTAAAGTGGCAATGTCCGGTTTATTAGTCGCTGTCCTTGCCGTGAAGCGTTCACAAAACAGCAGCGAGTCACGGAAATGGACAGCCCTGAAATATAATACCTAAATCGAGTCCGATAGCCTACCATTCAGGTATGGGTGGCTGTGGACTCTCTTGCCGTCTCAGCATAGTCTGTCTAACTCTGTCATTACGCACAACCAGTGAGGGAACTAACTGTATGCTATTATGGCCAAACCACGATAAACACTTCAACAGATAAAACTGCACGCGGATTTCTAAACAAACGAAACCAGATAGAATGGCTATGAGGTAAAAATGACATGGACCTAAACTGACAATATAATCTTCACATGGAATGGAACCACAACGAATCTATTTGGAATCTTCGTTTTCCTGAGCTAAATTCATACTTTAAAAAATAAATCACCGGTATAGCCTAATAACATTATTTAGCCTACCTCTAGGCTATCATGAAAGCGACTATAGAGCAATAAACGTAGGCTATCTATTCGGGCACTGTTTCTGGGCTGGAGTTATGCACCTCGTCGAAAGTATAAAGCGCAAGCCGACCGAGGTGATGCCTCCACCGGCCAAGAATTGAGGGCTGACCCGGTGTTTGGCTTGGAGATGGGGGTGGGATTTCCCGAGCTTTCCTGTCATTGGTTAATATTTTATTCTGTTGACATGTTTTCTTACTGCTAATGCTTCCGACACCTTGTTGTCCACCCCCTCTCTTAGAGCCTGGCCGGAGCTGTCAAAACCACGCCTATAGAGGCCCACAATTGGTCCAGAAAGCGTAAAATCAGCAATCAAAGGGGCTCGGTCCATCAGTGTTGGGATCGAGGCAGGAAGGACATGTGAGATAGTCACAGTTCTACAGCGAACAGCGCAAGATCTAACCATTTCAACTCCGTGTCCATGTGGAATGATTGCTCTAGCCTTCCGAGAGACACATCTTATTTTTCTCAAAGCGACTGGTGGGGAGAAAGAAGGAAACCCCGATTCTACTCTCAAAGCGTCGCTGCTTCTCTATCTTTGACTGATATTGTTACTGCACTTCGTGGAGGTACCAGCAACGGGAGTTTACGTGTAGTATAGGCTAATTCCTATAAATTCCATTTTTTTCAGCTAATAACCGTCTATAACGCGTCTATTCATAGGCTAGTTATCTGGCACCATATTCGAAATTACTTCTGTATACTTCTTACAGAAATAAGACAGAAATAAATTATTCTGGAAGCGGACCTACTGATTTTGGCCGAGGGGGGAGAATATCACTGTATATCATAATTTCACTTCGATATTTTGGATGCACCGATGAGAGATCCAGTTTTCACAGGGACTGCCATGGCTTATCACCCTTTCCACGCTCACCGGCCGACCGACTTCTCCATGTCAGCTTTCCTAGCGGCCGCGCAGCCCTCCTTCTTCCCGACGCTCACTCTGCCTCACCGGGCTCTCACTAAGCCCATGTCGGACCATCTCGTCGGAGCAGCGGAGGCAGGGCTCCACCCGGCTCTCAGCCACCACCATCAGGCGGCTCATCTCCGCAGCCTGAAGAGCCTGGAGCCCGAGGAAGAGGTGGAGGACGACCCTAAAGTCACACTGGAGGCCAAGGATCTATGGGACCAGTTTCACAAAATAGGAACAGAGATGGTTATTACCAAATCTGGAAGGTGAGAGTGCGCTCTGATAATTATTGCCAGCGAGGCTGACTACAGCGTCATGGTTATTCTCTGTCCATCAGTGGCGATTTTAGCGTGTACATTTTGGTGGGACAAACATTGTCCATACTGTATAGGCTTTGTGATCAGATGTGCATTATGTTCAGATTTATTCTGTAACGCTACGGCAAGAGTATGGCGAAAGCAAAAGGGTACGAAAGAAGTAGCTACATTCAGGATTACAGGGACATATTAGTTCAGGGCCTGCTGTAGGCTAGACTGGCTCGATGTGATTGTGTTTTTCATTGTATTCTATTGCATGTTCTTAAACTTATAAGCCTAGTTTATCATCGAAATAAGTTAATTATTTAACTTAAAAGTGATAAATACTATCAGAGTTTTCTTTACTATTGTGACCTGACTGATAGCATTTTATTTAGTTTCGATGGTACGATTATAATGAAGTTATAATCAAGTTTGGAGCGTGTTTGACAGAAAAGGATATTTGCAATATTTTGAAAATGTAGAATTTAGTTTAGGCTAGGAGTCTTGCCAGAGAGGAGAAAAAAATAACTCCCCTGGCTTTAGTCAGCAAAACGAGAATAGTATATGGATCAAACTGCATTCTGTCATGACAGTTGAGCTTCTGGATTTTGTAAACAGACTGTCAGACTTGAAAAAGAGGATTGTGATTTAACCTGATAGTGTCATATCATAAATATATTTCACTCGGCTGATTACAGACGAATTACAAAATATTGTAATCAGTAATAAAAAATATATACAAATTACTTTTAAGTAGGCTATTAGGCCTACACCTTATTAGTTTAATTTCCTACAACTACCATGGTATTTGCAAAGTTGCATGTACATAATTCGATGGAATGCTTTTATAATGAATGACAGTTGTGTCAATTAATAATACTTTATAATTTGCCTATATCGATTAAATAGTGTTGCATTTTCCTGGACACAAAGGAGAGAGAAAGAGCAAGTCGCCTATTGACGTGTTTTTATAATGTTATTGCCAGATTTCTGGGTCTTGTCTGACAACATTAAATGTCATATTTGTATGAATAAGCCTACATGGAGTTAATTCCACGCATATTTGTCTGTCTTCCAGGAGAATGTTTCCTCCGTTTAAAGTCAGAATAAATGGGCTTGATAAAAAAGCCAAAGTATATTCTATTGATGGATATAGTCGCTGCGGACGACTGCCGCTACAAGTTCCACAATTCTCGCTGGATGGTTGCGGGAAAGGCGGATCCGGAGATGCCCAAAAGAATGTACATTCACCCGGATAGCCCAGCTACGGGAGAGCAGTGGATGGCCAAGCCTGTTGCTTTTCATAAACTCAAGCTGACCAACAATATCTCGGACAAGCATGGATTTGTAAGTACTGTATGTTGACTTTTATTTACATTTAAACACGCAATTGTATTTCTGATGGATAATAATAAATGACACATGTTTTAGGTTATGGAGTAACACAATGTATTTAAAGACAGATACTGTTCCATTTTTTGAGCGAGATATTTCTATAGTTCTTGAATATTCTCATTCTATTTGCAACATGATTTTAGTAGGACTAACGTATTGGCACTGTATTTTTCCCAATAGATTGCTTTGTATTGCCAGGCTGTTGCCAGGACACTGTTCAACTCAATGTCGACATAGGCCTGTTTCCAAATATGATCTCCCAAAATATTATTCTCTAAAGCGTCATAAAAATAGCCTATAAATCTAATATCATGAAAGCTCTTGTTGTTGGTAGAAATAGTAATGTAACGCATTTACACATTTATAAAACAGAGTTTTACACGATTGTGGAAGAGGATTGAAACCATGATTCAAGTATTAGATTTGCTCTTTTTAAAAAGCCTAATTTAAGCGAAGAGGGAGTTCGTGAGAATTGGGGATTATGAGCATTAGAAATCGGGTCAAGGAGACCGGGCAGAGTGGAAATCGGTTTGGATAGGGCGAGCCTCTGTGGCGTCCTTTGACGTCGGTTTGATAGCTTTACTCCGACCTAGCCTCACTGTCTTGAGCCAGCTTGATCAGCGTGGAATAAAAACAATGTGTGGATGTAGCCTGAACTCGAAGTTCGTGTTTCGCGGTCGGTGCCTAAAGTTATTTTTGTAGCCTACTGTAAAAAACTAACCGCGGAGAAGATGGAAGTGATGGACGCCTCAGAAAGTAGGCTTTATAGAGAGAAGCTGCAGCGTGTGTTCAATGCTCCTAGACCAATGTGCAAACAAACCGACTGTAAACAAATTGAACATTTACATGCCAGACGCATCCAGACGTTTTTGCAAAATGTTGCAGACAGTGTTTTGATAGATGTAGGCTATAGGCTATCCAAAGTTTACCTTTAATTATCCAGCCACTGTGTTAATATAGGCTTACGTATTGTAGTAGTTAATGAATGTATATAATATACATGTTGTAAATGTTATCAGTAGGTTGGCCAGCAGATATGATAACGCAAATATTACATTAAATGTTTATCTTTAATATTGTTTTGTATCTCGAGCTGTGTTGACAACAGGTGTGTTCTCTTGCATTCTGAGAATAAACAGTAGGCCCAATTCTGAATAGACCTACTCACTGTTATGAATAATAGTGATACTAGGCCCAGTAATAATTATTATAAGAAATAATAATAACATATTTTAATCTCATGCGATGTACATGATCTTATTGTATTAATCACTGATAGGCCTACGAGTTATTTTGAGATAGGCATATCATCAGATGGTCTCGTTGAAATGCTAATAATTCATTTTTTCCATCTTTTCACAGACGATTCTTAATTCCATGCACAAATACCAGCCCCGGTTTCATATCGTGAGGGCCAACGACATCCTGAAGCTCCCCTACAGCACGTTCAGGACATATGTGTTCCCAGAGACAGACTTCATCGCTGTCACAGCTTATCAAAACGACAAGGTAAGCAATATAATACAGTAGCCTATATAATACACTGGAATTTAACATAGGCTACATTAATGTTCGAGACCATGAAATAACCTCGCCATAAGAGGTTGGGCCTATTTTTACATACATGACACTATTTTCTATCAGCAAAAGGTTAATCTGAGGTTCAATTTTGATTTTGTTTAGTTTGTTTTTATGAGGGAAAAAATGGCTCATTTGTGGAATTAGATGGCCTCACTCGTTTGTGCAACCTTGTTGCATTTAATGATCTTTGTTGACGAATGTTAAAGGCAGACTTTTTACAGTGAAACCGTTGCTGCAGGGTTTTTAATCTGTAGGACTAAATGCACCTGCTCAATCAAACCGCATGTCGGTCATCATTGTCAAATGTTATGGTTAACCTTACATAACCAGTTTAGCCTACAATTGCAGGCATATATTTGACTAGTAAAAACAGATTTGAAAAGGTTGGCTATCGCTGTTGTCTTTCCGTCTATGGGCTATGGAGGATATGCTGCTGGCTCACAATTCCATTCAAATCTAATTAGATGGTGCTTCTTTGGACACTGACACCATTTGGTTAAAGACTGATTTCCCCATGGTTCTTCAGGGTGTCAGTAATTCCTAGATTTGATGGTGAGTATTTATTTTAGTTGCAGTCAAAAATTATCTAGCTCCCTGCACTGCCCCCCCCCCCCCCCCCCCCCCCCCCCCCCCCCCCCTCTCCCCCTCCATGAGGCTAATTGGCGTCCGTGTCAGAGGGGCCTGTGGTGGTCTTGTTGCTATCGGCTCCGGAGTGGCGCAGCGGTCTATAAGGCACTGCATCTCAGTGCTGGCGGCGTCACTACAGACTCCGGGTTTGCCCGGGGTAGGCCATCATTGTAAATAAGAATTTGTTCTTAACTGACTTGCCTTGTTAAATAAAATACAAACTCGTAAAGTTTATGGCAAAGAGTCACAATCGATTAGAAGGCACTATCCTCGTCCGTTTGTCCGCGAGCTACACAGTCTCGGAGGCTGCCTGCGCAATCAAAGCGTGACAGAAGGGGACTGCGACTCCCTGATTGGTCGATTCGCGAATTCCTCAAGAGTTCCATACAAGGTGAGGAGGGGGAAAACAGCACAAACCCCGTATCGAAACATTTAGGCCAAGCGGCGGTTCCAAAGTCCATGCAGTATTTTTCCATACAAGCCTTGCATGAAGCAGCAATGATCCAAACCACATTATTAATTATGGATAAGATAGTCCTCACTCAGCTCTCCTCCTCACTCTCTTCGAAAAGAATGGATGGAGAAACACTGTTTGTTTCTCATGGGGCTCATGAGAATAACGCCTCGTCATTAAACCCCTATTAATAATGCAACATCTACCGAGGCATCCTTTCACCGGAGTGTGTTCTGTTCAGTGTGTTTAACGGGACACTGTATGTGGGAGAAATATATAAGAGTAAATCAAGTTGAGAAAAACACGTGACCCTATATATAGGTCAAGACATTATTAGGCCTGGACCTATAGGCCCATAGGCCGAGTTACGGGCCTAATACTACTACTACTAGTAGTAGTACTACTAGTACTAGTACTACTAATACTACTACTAATAATAACAATAATTAATTGTAACGTCTATGGTAAGGCCTATTTGTCATTGTTTTTCTCGTTTATCTTGTTTGCACCCTGCAATGTCTAATATATTTTCTCCATCTCCTGTCCACAGATAACACAGCTGAAGATTGATAATAACCCTTTTGCCAAAGGATTCAGAGACACCGGAAATGGAAGGAGAGAGAAAAGGTAAGCATATGCTATGTCTGTTCGCCCATCACACTGTGTAGTCTAGCCTAGTTCTATATCAATTATATTATCATAATACGATAATATGCATAGGTCCTATGTTATGCATGTTTTAACAATGCCCCAACGTTATTCCTTTTAATCTGTTTATTAGTTAACAAAATAAAAATGACAAAATGCATGCTGTTCTCAACTCTGATGTAGGCTTATCATTGAATGTAGGTCGGCCTACTGCTGCCCTCATGTCATGTTAATGGTGTATGGAAGCCTTACTTGAATACATGTACCCACTATTATTAAAAGGGAACCGTTCAACTCTAGGAAACAGTTGACACTTCCCTCCCTGCGGATGTATGAAGACCAATGCAAAGCGGACCGAGACGGGGGAGACTCTGATGCCTCCTCTAGCGAACCAACAACTGGCAGAGATAGTGTACACTCCCCAATCGGACCTGGATCCAGCCCGCTTAGGCTCAGTCGAATCAGCCGAGGTAACATAATAATGCAATTGTGGCCAATGGCGGCATTTAGACTTATGGTGGCTGAAATATGGAGGCTATAGGCAAAATCCTCTAGTAATTTAGCCTATTTGAGAGAATAGGCTATAGGCCTATACCCAAAGAGTGCAAATGCAATAGTGTACGGTTTGTGATAACTTCATTTAATTTATTATGTCCAAGTAATAAACATTTTAGATTTACATAATAACAATTCATGTGCAACAGAAAATGCAATTTACCAAGAAAACACAGTGTTATAGTACATTTTCTAATTACAAAATGTACTTTGATAGTTTTCAGCAGCTCTTGTTCTTTAGATATACAATGTTCTTTCGTGACAGGCTATTTGTTCAACTCACTTATTATTGAAATATTAAATAACTGTTGCCTGGTGTAATGCATAGACTTAATTAGGCTACTTGACCATTGAAAAACAGCTACTTTTGACTGCTCAACTATTGATTAATAATTGAAGTATATTTACTCTGGGGTAAAAATACAACACAAAAGCCCCATGTTAATGCTCCGAGTAAGCCTCTTGGGCTGACATGTAGGAAGGAAACGGTTAGACAAGGCATGTTAACACTAAATCATGACTGTACACTTAAAATAATCACTTACACAGTGCGTGTGAGTGTGCTTGTGAATGTTGTAACCACTGCCGTTTCAACTGCTATTTTACTTTCCATTATTAATGATATATTTTTTAATATGTAAGTCTGAGCATGGCATGGCATTTTGTCAGTTATTTTACATTTAGGCCCACAAACATACAGCTAATTATGACTACAACTTTTTTTTTTATAACAGATGAAAAAACCTGTACTGACAGTGAGCAAGAACTTGACCATCAGGACGAGCATTGCACCGCGTCGAATAGCCCTGGACCCGAGCCGCCCTCTCCCTTCAGCCCAAGGTGCGAGGACCGGGTGAAGGATAAGCCGAGTCTGAACAAGAAAGACAACTATCCAGACTCAAGGGAGCCGAGCGACTCCATATTCAGTATAAGGAACCTTGAGAAAGGAGACAAAACGGAGAACAGGCACAGGAAAGACACTACAGATTCGTCAAAAAAGAACACCACTGACAGCGTAGGGATAAGCGCAAGCAAGGAAAGTTTCTCCCCGCTCATGGTTCAAACAGAGAGCCCCTCACACTTCAGCGCGAGCCACCTGCAGAGTCTGGCCTTGTCTGGCTTGCACAGTCAGCAGTTTTTTAATCCTATGAACGCCGGACAAATGCTATTTCACCCTGGACAGTTCGCTATGGGCCCAGGAGCGTTTTCTGCCATGAGCATGGGACATCTATTGGCGTCGGTATCTGGAGCAAGTGGTATGGAAAACGGCAGCCTCTCTGCCCAGGGCACGGGGGGCACCCCGAACCCTTTCCCCTTCCATCTGTCGCAGCACATGCTCGCCTCTCAGGTAAGGGAGACTTTAATTCTACACTAAACAAATTGTTTGTTTGAACTCAGTGATCACTTATAGGCCTTTATGCTCGTTTGACTTCACCAAAACCGTTGAGGCCGTTATTGGCCTAGAATAGGCTTTGACTAATAAAGCATGAGTCTTACAAGTATGTGCAAACTTAGTGCCAAAATTCCACTGTAGACGCTTTGCATTGTACAATTTGACTGGCCAGATTCAGCAGACCCTATTCTGGGCAGAACTCAAATGCGCAGTATGTTGTTGGGCTATCAGGTCACTGCCACTAGGGCTAGGGAGGCCTGGGTCTCTTGCAATCTTACGGTAGTGAGAGGACGCATGCTGGCAGAATAGCGACAAAAAAGGTATAGGCCTATATATATTATTATTATTATTATCATTATTTTGAACAACAGTTCTGTTAATGATTTTTCAAAGTAGGCTGATAATTGTTTTAAAAGAACATGCTTTAGAAGACCACCCATAAATCAACACTCAGGAAATGTGTGGGAGCAAAAACGCAAGGCCTTGCGAATAAGCGTTCTCCTTTTTAACATCCAATCCGTATAGCCTTCATTATTCTAAAGGGTTCTTTAACATCGTAGAAGACGACTTCCTTGTAGGTTTAATTATTGAAGTGAACTAGCTATTGAGGCCGTGCATAATTTGGTCGTTGAGCGGGTTACCCAAGATTCAGTAGGCCTAGTCATTTGAGTAGGCTACATCGTGGTCTGAATATATCACTATCACCAGCACGGTCCCAGTACTAACTGCCATTTTCTCCTGCCTGATTTCAGGGCATTCCCATGCCGACCTTTGGAGGCCTGTTCCCCTACCCCTACACCTACATGGCTGCTGCTGCAGCCGCGGCCTCCGCCATGCCCGCCAGCACTACAGCCAGCTCGCTCTCGAGGAATCCCTTCCTCACCAGCTCCCGCCCTCGGCTCCGGTTCAACCCTTACCAGATCCCGGTGTCTATGGCCCAGAGCACAAGTCTACTCACCACCGGCCTGCCAGGCGGCCTAAACCCCAGCTCCGAGTCCTCCAAATCGGGCAGCAGGGAGACGAGTCCCGTGCCTGAGATCCACAACCACAAAGCGGGGTCGAGTCATAGGACCAGCTCTCCCAAATCGATGAAGGACTCTATCAATGAGCTCCAAAACATCCAGAGACTCGTGAGCGGCCTGGAGAGCCAGAGAGAGATGTATCCCCCCAGAGACTCTCCTAAGTGATCTCACTAATGGAATAATATATTCCACCACAACTTGGCTTGAAATATCAGAGAACATTATTAAACATTTTGTACAGCACATTACGCGAGGAAATGGCAACACCGGCCTACCTTTTCGCGCGCCTGGACTGAGAATGGAAGCAGGGAATGAAGGAGCGAGAACCAGCGTCGTCACTTACTGTTACTGTGTGTGGTACGCTTTCAATATTATAGGAAACTGAAGCATCGAAATAATATGAAAACCAAAAGTAGGCACTGAATTTTTAGGCTGCTGGCTAAAACTTGAGCACACAAAGAGGATACCATACCGCAAGAAGGAAAACCTACTAAGAACATTCTTCATGTAGAGCATATTGATGTTTAAACGACAGTGGCAAGGGTGTGGCATTGTTTTTAGGGACTGAATAATTAACTTTATCAAACTATAATCAATGGCATAAGTTCTGAATGAACATTGGTGCTTTTTGCCCGCAGAATGGAGAAGGTGCAACCTGTAGAACGACAGGAAAACAAGCTACATCCAAAACGTTTTTAAAACATAGGCTATTATTTCAAAAGGGATGGATAAAATTAAAGTTCCGTCAAAAATAATTGATAGAAGAACGCTTAGGCCTATAATTTCTGCCAGAAAAATTGTTTGAACTATTTATGTAATTAAAATAAATTCTGTAAATAAGCTATAAAGGAATCCAAGAATATGCAATTGGTATTAATTTATTCAAAACTGTACATTGGCGTGTATATAATATTTAGAGTTTAACTCATTGCTTTTTATGATTTGTTATTTTACGTATAGACCTGCTGTAAATGAAAGCTATTTAGCGCTTGTTGGTTTGAACCAGAACGTCTTTATATGTAATGCATAGGCATAGTTGATTATCTGCCTGTGACACGTGAAGGAAACAAACATGTGTGCCATGTTTATCTGCAATCTCTGTCTACAAAAACTAATATCAGAAAAGAGACAAAGAGAGATAGAAAGAGAGAGGGAGAGATACATAGAGAGAAAGCTGCCTATTTGTCACATTACCTGACTATTATCTGCAGGAGAGGCAGAGATATAGGAAAACCTCAGGTCATTTCACTCCAACACAGGAGAGGATGATAACATTTCTCTTTAAATGGGGCACAATGCATATCTATATATAAATATATTTAAAATTGAAAGCGTATCTCGTTTATTCTGGTTGTCCGGGTAAATTCAGTTTTTTGTTGAATTATCACACAATTTCAATAAAAAAAACAATGTGTTAAAAAGTTTTGTTCACTCATATTTTGTACCTACTGGATACAGTTAAGGTACATTTGAAATTCTTAATAGTAATAATAATAATAATAATTTAATGTATATAGGCTACCTATTACTAGTATTATTATTTTATAATTATAGCCTAATTATTATTATTATCTCCCAACATCAGATGAATGATGCCTCTAAATTAATGATAATACCGCCTTACAAAATATAACTTAAAATGGTCAAATACCTGAAAACACGCACACACGCACGCACGCACACACACACACACACACACACACACACGCACACACACACACACACACGCACACACACACGGTTTTGTGAAACATGACCTAAGTAGTTCACTGAGTGTATGGCGCCCTCTGTCGGCAGTGTATTTGAGGATAAAATTCAAGTTTTTCAGCCCAGTATTTCTCTAGTTCTTTATCAGTGATGATTGTTTAACAAATTCAAACGAAATATTAGGCTACATTATACCATTTTGAAAAAGGCAAATCAATGTATTGTAGGTTTCTGTTCATAAGAGCAATGTAGGATGTATAACTGTCATTAGTTACAAGTCAATTTATTCTTATAACAATTAGGCCTATAATTGTCATATTTACATTGCGTTGCCGTTGAATAGAGGCACGTGAGTGATGACATGCAAGGCATCTATTTTTAAACTGAGCTGCTGTTAGTGTTTCTATCAGTGTTTCCTGTAGTATTGTCTGTATTCTACTATTAATAGAATAGAATAGTAATATAGGAGTATTTATAAGAGGGCGAGACACGGAACTTCCGTCTCCTCCTCTCCACTTCAACCGTACATATCCTCTGCATATCCTCTGCACTTTCAATGGCACTTGGCCTATAGACGCAGTTAACCGTTTGAGCGAATGAGAAAAACTGATCACCATTTGTACGACACACACATACAGTAGCCTACGGTAGTCTATATGTCTATTGAAATCAACAAGAATTTACATATAAGGAGGGTTAAATGAAATATACTTTCCCTTAAGAAATTATACACAAATTAAATTAAACAGTAGTGCCCAACATGCCATAGGCCTTATAAGCATTTCGTTGACGCATGGCTTACAGAAACTGAAGGCATAACTTTCCAAAAAGATTGTCTTCACTCGGGCTAGTACAGATGAAAACTTTATTATTGTATGGACCTATTTTACGCGTGAGAGAGATGCCTTGGTCGGGGACAACTTGTCCCATATCACCGTGAAAGGGTTAAGCGCCACAGCACAGGCTGGGAAGTTTGGGAGGATGGGCGCTTGGACGCCTAGCCACTTTGGCAGCAGACAGCCCTTTGTCCAGCAACCGGCGCCTGTCGCCTGCCTGCCGGCCACACAGCCTCGCCACACCCGCGCACAAAGGCAGGGGGAGCAGGGGGAGATCCCACGAGCCACGGTTCTTCTAATTAGAGCACCCCTTCTTGTTTCTTTTATTTTCTTTCTGCAGCGATAATCACAAAACTCTCATTCTATTATGGGGCCATTGTTGCCCACTCTGTTATCTTCAATTAACAGAGTGAGCTACTCGACCTCGCACTCTCGGATAACAAACTATTTGTCTAAAGCAATCAGTCAGTGACTGATCAATAGGCTCTTTTGGTGGACTCATGGATGCGACTAATGATTGGTGACGGTTCGGGGTAAAAAGGCCAAGACTATTCACAACTTTGTTCAGTGATCAGGTGTAGGCCGCTATTTTTCTATTGTTTTTACAACATACATGAATGGAATCTCTACCAGGACCGGTGTGGAACGAAATTAAATAAGATGTGTGCACGAGTTAATTAAAAGTGTGTGCATGACTCAAAAGAGCACGAGATAAGCCTGAACCGAGATAACTCAAATTATCTTGCTCATCATTAACTTATATAATTAGGCTACAATTATTTATACGATTATTCAGCTACAGTAATTGAATATTCAGTTTTGATCACATTTTCACATGCATTCCCATGGGCATCAGAAAATGCAATTCTTCCTGATCTCAACCAACCAACCCAGCATGACTCATGAGTAAGTAGGCTACAGACTCCTTTCACTAAAACCAGGGCCAGACAATGACATGATGATGATAATCTATTTGTCCATCACAGTTGCCTTGAGATAGCCTATGTGTTCTGTGTGCTTTTGTAGATTTACTGATGTTTACCCTTACCTGAATCTCCAAACATCTCTCTGGGCATTACTAGATTGCGGAGTGCATTCATCACCCATCACCCATCAGCCATGTGATCATAGAGACAGGCTTTTCGCTGATTGGATCACTGTTGCCTGACTGTGGCCCAATCACAAGGCCTAATTTTCCCGTAAAAATGAAGCCGATCTTTGAGCTCAAATAGATAGCCTATAAAATAGCTTTATCAGTGTAGCAAAGAGGAAATGCATAGGTCGCTTTCCCCTGCTCAGACATAGCATACATCAACCAATGGTTGCGTGAGATTGCTATAACAAAACGATGTGGTTAGCTGAATGGCAGAAGCAAAGATTGTTAATTATGTTGACAAGACAGTCAAGTGAAGGCTTTAACAATGGAAATACATGTCCTCAAAGATGGAAGGCAACAGTAGCTAATAAGAGGGCAGATGCATGCGTGAACAACAGGCCATAGAGATAGAGGACTCATCTTTGTATCTGTCCCATTATTGACAGCATGGACAACGCCATTGAGGACATCTCCATTTTAAAGTAGTACACTTTCTTCTTCTTCATTGGCTGATTGCGCCCACCTCAACTATCCACAATTGATATAATCTGAATTATATTATGATACAGAACAAGTACCCTATTCACTTATAGCCACTGGTGATTAGCTGGTGATTTTCTGGTGATTAGGGACAACAGAAAAGTTATTGATTAACTTGAAAAAGTAAATTAAAAAACGTTAATTTAACAAACTTATCGAGAATCCTGGCATGTGACAATCAGTGTAAGTAAAGTACACGAGCTGGTAATTATCTTGGCGGCAGGAGGAGTCTCTTCTACATCCTATATCGCGCACCATGCCTTCGCTATCTCAGAACGTGAGCTGGGTGAGAACACGGACAACCCACCACTGGAGGAGTGGAGACAGATCTCTTGGCGGAGATAACCAGCAAGGAAGCAGATATCAGCCCAGAATATACCGGCAAGGAGGGTTGGGGCTGCTGTAACCTCCTAAATAATCATTTCATTGGAAGCTCTCACCTGCTCTGCGTTCCGAAAAGACACTTGCCATGACCTATATACAGCTGCGGGAAAATATTAAGAGCACTGCAAAAGTATCAGTTTCTCTGGTTTTTCTATTTATAGGTATGTGTTTGGGTAAAAATAACATTTTTGTTTTATTCTATAAACTACTGACAACATTTCTCGCAAATTCCAAATAAAAATATTGTCATTTAGAGAATTTATTTGCAGAAAATGACAACCGGTCAAAATAACAAAAAAGATGCAGTGTTGTCAGACCTCGAATAAAGTTAATGTTCATTTTTAAACAACACAATAGTAATGTTTTAACTTAGGGAGAGCTCAGAAATCAATATTTGGTGGAAAAACACTAATTTTCAATCACAGCTTTCATGCGTCTTGGCATGCTCTCCACCAGTCTTTCACATTAATATTGGGTGACTTTATTCCACTCCTGGCGCAAAAATTCAAGCAGCTCGGCTTTGTTTGATGGCTTGTGACCATCCATCTTCCTCTTGATCACATTCCAGAAGTTTTCAATGGGGTTCAGGTCTGGAGATTGGGCTGGCCATGACAGGGTCTTGATCTGGTGGTCCTCCATCCACACCTTGATTGACTTGGCTGTGTGGCATGGCGCATTGTCCTGCTGGAAAAACCAATCCTCAGAGTTGGGGAACAATGTCAGAGCAAAAGGAAGCAAGTTTTCTTCCAGGACAACCTTGTACATTGCTTGATTCATGCGTCCTTCACAAAGACAAATCTGCCCGATTCCAGCCTTGCTGAAGCACCCCCAGATCATCACCGATCCTCCACCAAATTTCACAGTGGGTGCGAGACACTGTGGCTTGTAGAGCTCTCCAGGTCTCCGTCTAACCATTAGACGACCAGGTGTTGGGCAAAACTGAAAATTGGACTCATCAGAGAAGATGACATTATTCCAGTCCTCTACGGTACAATCCTTATGGTCTTTTGCAAACCTCAGCCTGGCTCTTCTTTGCTTCTCATTGATGAAGGGCTTTTTTCTAGCTTTGCATGACTTCAGCCCTGCCCCTAGGAGCCTGTTTCGAACCGTCCTCGCCGTGCACTTCACCCCTGCTGCCATTTGCCATTATTTTTGTAGGTCACTTGATGTCATCCTATGGTTGTTGAGTGACATTCGAATGAGTTGGCGGTCATCCCGGTCAGTAGAGAGTCGTTTTCGCCCTCTGCCGGTCTGTAGCTTTGTTGTCCCCAATGTCTGCTGCTTGACCTTGTTCTTATGAACCGGCGTCTTTGAAATGTTAAGGATGGAAGCAACCTGACGCTCACTGTATCCCTCTGCCAGTAAAGCCAGAATTGAACCCTTCTTTTCCTCACTCAAAACTTTCCTTTTCAACTCTTTTGGCATGGTCAATAGTTATTTTTTGATTAATATTACGTTTGAGGTACTATTAGCACTGTTTTTGCCATCCAGCTGGTCCTATTGCAAGAGGATAGTGATGACCACAGCAGTGGTTTTTATACTTTTCCTCGTTAAATAAGAT